GGTACCCCTACTAGGCTTTTGCTAGGCCTTATCTAATATTTATAAAGCATATCTTATAAATATAAATATAATACTTCTAGTTAGATCTCTAATAGATTATATAAAGGCCTATATAGGACTATACTATTTATATTAATAAAGTATTTAATATTACTAAAATTAGAAAGTTCCGAAGTTTTATTAGAATTAAAAACCTTTAAGAAGTCTTTATATTTATTATTCCGGAAATAAATAGGTATTTCTAAGGCCCCTTTCCGGAGGATATTAATTTGCTATATTAAAAACTCCTATTTAGTATTACTAGAATTATATAATAAAATAAAGACCTAGTAACTATTATAAATATATAAAGCCTATTATCTAGAATAGGTATATTTGCCTTTAGTTAAGAATAAGACTTAAGGTACTAGCTTAGGATACTAATTAAGCTCCTTACTAAATTCTTTTAGTATTAGGATCTTAATATTATTAGACTATATAAGTATATATATCTATTATTTCTTAATATAATCTATATATTATATAAGGGTTACTTTATAAAATTTCATACTAAAGATAAGGCTATAAGAGCTAATATTCTTATATCTATAGAACCGGAGCTTAAAAGAATATATCTTACTATAATTATTTATAATAAATACCTTAAGATTATAGGCTTAATAGATCTTAAATTAGTTTCTATAAAAGATTATAAATTCTTAGTTATATTTAGCTAAGGTAATAAAGCCCTGGCTTTAAGCCTAATTATTATTAAGGAAGTTATAATCTAATCCGGTATTACTAAGTCTGCTATATATTTCTAAGGTACTTATTTCTAGCTATATTAATCTTACTTAAATAATTATATGAAATAATATATCTTTTTTATTATAGCCAAAATTATTAATATTTAAGATTTAGCCTTCTCTTTTCCCTATTTCTTAGAAGGATTTCCTCTAGAGTACTTCTTTATAGTAATAGTATTAACCTACTTCTATAGATACCTTAACTTTTCTATAGTTTTGGCCTTATTAGAGTTCTGCCGAGCCTATTTAGTATACTTAAAATACTTTATATTTCCTAAGAAATATTTTTTCTATTTATAAGTCTAATAAACCATACCTAAAATAGAACTAGTACTTTATTAAGGCCTTAAAAGAACCAAAGTACTATCTGAGAATTTCTTATATAATCTTTAGAACTTATTCTTCTTTTTTTAATAGCTTTATAAATTAGAATTCAATAAGTCAGGGTTTTTAGGAGTAGAGTTACTCTTATTAGACTTCCCTGTTTTTATTTTTCTTAATTTAGAATAAGTAATATACTTTACTTTCTGAGCTTTCTTAAGCTACTCGGAAATAAATATAAGTATCTAATAAGTCTTATAGTTAGATAAAACAGTATCGAGAGTCCGGACCCGGTTCCTCTCAGGATATAAGTTCTAGTTAACTTTAAGACTAATTATTTAAGTATATAATTCGGTAACTATCTTACTATTTTTCTAATAAAGATCTCGGAGTTCCTTAAAGGCGTCTTATTAATGGGTTTGAGGTACTTAAAGTATATTAGCTAAGTAGGCCTTAAATTACTTCTAATAGACCTTATATAATAATAGGCTTTACTTTATTATAGCCTCCCAAATATTATGAGATTCGTTCCTAAAAGTACTTATAGTAGAATTAACTCTAGAAGAATATCTATTATAAGTCTAAGATTAGGTCCTAAAGACTATTTTCCAGAAAAATATAAATATTCTCTATTTCTTAAGGAACTTTCTATAATATAAGTCAGGTATCCGGATCTTAAGAAACTTCTTTTAATCTAAATATATCTTTAGGATATTATATAGTAGCTCCTAATAAATAATATTAAGATTACTCTCAAAGCTTATTATATTAGGAAAGGAGATAGGTTCTAATCCTATTTTAGGAAGTTTCCTAGTAGGAATTACTAAGGAAAATAGAGTAAACTTATAAATAGAATTTCTATAAAATATAATAAATCATAAGGTATTCCTAAAAGTATTCTTATATTACTCTAACTATAGGATATATTAGTTAATTATATCTATTAATTCTTGCTTTTATTAAAGCGCTTTGACTTTAGTATATAAGCCCTATTCTATAGCTTGAGTAGTAATAACTTGGGTATTAATCTCGGTGTCTTAATTATTACCGGGATTATTTACGTTATTATTACTAGCTCTCGGAGGCTTCTGAGAGGCCCTATTAAAAGTATTAGACGAGCCTTTACTATTATCTATATCGGGGTTAATCTATTTGACTTCCTCTATAGGAATAGCTCTGGCGAGGAATTATATATTTTGCAGATTTCGAGATATAATTACTTATTAAACTACCTTTTTTGAGAGTAGAGAGATTAGCTTATAAGGTATTTATTAGTAGGTAATAAGATAATAGAATGAATTAGTAAGTTATAAAACTATAATATTAAATTTAGTATAAAACTAATCTCTGTCCCTCCTATAAGGTCCAGGGAAGCCTCCTCTAAATAGGAGGCCCCGATAATATATATATAATTAGTAATTTATAAGCCTAATACTTATAATATAAATAGTAGTTAGTTATAAAGTCAAAGGGCCTCTAATCTCCCTAATTAATACCTGTAATATCCGAGGTTTATTATATGTCCTTAAGTTATATATAACCTTATATATATTATAACTAAATAATTTAAAAGATTCTTATATATATAAGCTATTTTTAATATAAATTAATAATTAAACCTGGCTTAAATAAGCTAAATATAGTAAAGTAATTAGCTTAGTATTTAAAGAAAAAAAGTATTAGATATTTAAGAACTAGAAAGATATTATTTTTATAAATAAAACTATAATATAATTAGGAAATATAAAAGAAAAGAAAAAAGTATAGAGATTATTTAAAGAAATATTATATAAATATTATATAAAATAATATTAAAAAGGCTTTTTTAAATTTATATTTTGGGAATTATTTTTATATAATAAAAAGAAGCCTTACTATATATAGGAGAAAAGACTTCTTAAGAGAAAAGAAAGAAAAAGGCTAATTTAAATATAAGGAATTTGTTAATTAAAAAAGTAATAAATAGAAATAGAAAAAGAAGTAAAAGAAATAGCTAAGGAATTAGATAAAGATATATAAATGAGCTCTTAGAGAAATATAAAAAACCTTGAAATATAATAAGGCTACTAATATATTTATAATAAAGAATAGCTAAGATAATATTAATTAATATAAATATTAAAAAAGAATTCTTATTAAAAAGCTTTTATTTTTTATAAAAGTATATTAAAATAATTAATCTAATATAACTATTTAAGAGAATAATATACTAATATATAAATCTCATTACTAAGAAATAATTTATAGCTTATAAAAAATTATGAAAATACTCTAGCTAGTAAATTTACCTAATCTTAATATAATTAAAACGGCTTGGTTTTATATGAAAAACAAATCTATAAAGCGGGGGCCAACTAGTAATAAAAAGAAACTCAAAGCAAGATAGGAGAAATACTAGTAAAACTTATCCCAAAGTAAGATTTAAGAGTAAATAAAAGTAATTCCTTATTATATAAAGGAGATAATTCGTTTAAAAGGGGGCAATAAGTATAAAGAAGGGAGAAAGAAGGGGGAAGAGAAGATTAGTATATACTAGATTCAGATTTATATATATAGAATTAAAGGTATTAAAAAATAATTAAAATTAGAGGCTTTATAAGTAATAGCGGGGTAAGCCATACTTAGGGGACCCTTACAGGGCTTATAGGGAGCTAGGAATTGCTACAGGGAGATTAAAGTAAGACCTTACAGGCCCTTTAGTAGCCTATATAAAATATTCGACGGTACTATCGCCTCGATGACTGCCAATCGCTGCATTGATCCGAAATGCTGTCACCGTTGAGAAAATACGGCACGTGATACAACTCCTTCCCTCCCCCAATCAACGTGCCGTCGTTCATCCATCAAAACAAGTTCAGTATATTATCCATGTTCCAAGTTCCCCAAAAAAGTGATCATTACGGCGCAATACCTGTTCTCAGATTAGTATGAGTGGAGCATCATTTGGCTGGGATACTTGCGTTGCAACCCCGACGAACATCGTCTTCTGCGTCATCGATGTGAGGAGAGAGAACACGAATGTAAATATCAATACTGCTGCAATGACTACGGCTAATATTTGCCTTCTGCCAAGAGAGATAGTGTAAATCAAGATCACAGGGATTAGCAGTACGGCTAAGAAGGCGGTTGCTGCTATCGATCGAACCAATGGTAAGACGTGATCCAGTTGATGCGCCGGCAGCGGATTGACATGGTTGTGTTTCTTGAAAATTTTGTTCCCAACGGTGGTGCAATGGTTCTTGAATGTCTGGTCAAAGTAAGTACTTGCCTAAATTTGCTGCGTTTGTTTCCTTTATTGGCGCTTAAAGGGGGGGAAATACCTCAACCCACCATCCCTCCGAGGTCGGTTTGACGGACACGAAATCGTCTGGGTGATAGATCCAATTATCTTCTCCCTGATCAACGGGCTTATAGCTCCATAACCACTTGAATACAGTAGCATGATCCCGGTTCGGTGTTCTCTGTAAAGCTCGTAATTGGGCTTCTTTCAGTAGCAAATCGTCTAGTCCTAGGTTAGCCCTTGTTTTCAATACGTTGGAGAGAGAGTACATCCAGTAGATGAGCAATTTCACCCGAATCTCCTCCCTCAAATCCATGCGCTCTGTATCCCATCCGTCTTGGTGATAAGTTGTCCTCAATCTATATGCTGTTGACGCTGATTCACTATCATGTTTATCGAGCTCTGTGAGTTTCTGCTCTAGCTTTGTGATCTCTGTCTGCAGCATAACGAGTTCACGGCAGTGCAGCTGACCGAATCGGCGGAATATAGCAGTGTTGTCTGCACTATTCAAGAATGCTGCCAATCGTGGCCATCCATCGGGGTGTTTCTCCAGTTCTGCACACCATGTCAGACTTGACGAAAGTTGGATGAAATGGCTCACCTCTTTCTCTTTCGAAAATATTCAAGCCGCTGAGAGGTCTATTTTGATGGCTTATTTCTTCAGTCCCAAGCGGCGGTGATATTGTAGAACTTTGATACGTCGAAGGAAGCACTCGTCGAAGTCTAGTGCGAGAAAGATTAGCCCCACCGGCGTGGGTGGAGGCACTTTCTTCAGAACAGAATCAGTTTTGCATTAAGCAAAGTGTAACAATTGCATTGGAATTGTGGTCCTAACCCTTCGGTATTTTCTTCTTTTTTGCATGAACAGAAGTGAGGGACTTACTTGTAGTCGGGGCTTGCTGAGGTTCAGGAAGCCGGATAGCTCTCTTGACTTCGTCGACTGCTTTCGTGACTTCCAATTCAGCCTCACTTGGCATCCGGACGGTTTTGCCTCCGAAATGAGTTACGATGTCATTCACAATGTCCCGGGCAAGGACAATGTAGGCAACATTTGTTCCTGGTTTCCCTGCGACGATATGGCCCAACCAGTCGCCAGTAGCGGGATCAAGCACCCAGGAACCACTATCACCCATTTCTATGAGAAACTTTAGTTTTAGGAAATGGCTATTAGGAGCTAGGCACAAGGAAGACTTACGGATAGGCCGGTCCAGAATAACGATCCACATTCTCTGGAAGGATCTACTCCCTGGAAGAGCAACAAGGGAGTAGTCTCCAATGATACTGCCATTCACGATGCCTGTTGTGCCGGTATGGATGACCACAGGCATATCACATGGATCCTTTTGTGCTATATTTCTTGGAAATAGGATGTTTCCATTTGGCAGGAACACCATGTTGGACAAATGCATTTTATTTCGGTCAATGGTGTATAATGCCCAGTCCAAACCCCAAGAGCTTTCAGAGCGCTCTCGTGAATCTCTTTTGCCGTGCAGAGTTCCAATGATACCTGATCTTCGATAGTGGATTGCTGGTGGAGAAGGTTCGATTGCCTCTGCTATTATACAGGTTAACTCTTCCCGTTGACTGAAGGAATCAAAATGGCAGAAAGTTTCGTACCCTGAGTTTCTGCATTTGTTTCGATCTCACAATCAAAGGCGTGGGCGACTGTCAACACATGCAATTCGCCATCGACCATAAGAACACCTCCCATGGTGCATGATACGTCCCCAACATGGACCAAGGCTGCATTGATTGCAGGTTTAGCATTACGAGTTGGTGAACTTTCGCGGTGGTTGTTGGGGTAAGCTGGCAAATTCCCGGCAGAACTAACAGCTTTCTCTTGAGGTAATTCAGCCTTAGAAGAAGAAGTAGGACGCCCAGTTTCAAGGTCCAAAGAATCGAAATATCCAGCAGAGAATCCGGGCCCGTTCTCGTAGTACTCGATACCTATTCCTCGGGGATCGACTTGAATGTCTTCTTCTTGGATGATTCTCTTCGCATTCCGCCGACATATTTTGCTTGAAGAACTGAAAATTATCGTAGGCTGAGCATCTTGGATGGATCGTCCATACATTGAGCGGTCCCAAACGCATCCAGGCGAGGTGCGCTCACCGTCCCAGATATCGCACTGGCGCTTCAAAACCAGAGCCTCGATCTGTCCCATTGCGTTGATTAGACAAGGTCTTGCAGGAGCCAGCGCAACCCAGCAGGTCATCGTCCAGAGAGAGGAACTGAGTTGCCACTCCATTTTCACTCGACTGTTGTCCTTGATTGACTGACGCCGCTCTGGATCCTTCCATTTTGGAGCTCCCAAGCGAGGCAGCCTCGCTTCGATTTGCTGGAGAGCCTGGACTTCGATAGACATCATGATAATACAAACTCCGATGCCCAATGTTGTTTTAGGCCACCAGATTGATAAGAATCGTAGAGCCGTGGAAAAGCATCAAAGGAGTAGAAGCGATGGGGCCACTACAAGTTTCTTATCCTTGTGCTGGACAAGCGGTGAAAGCCGACGTGCGAACCGCTCAATTCAAGGTTGGAAGGCAAGGAAGAGCAGTTGCGGATCACCACAAGGACGCCTTGCAGTTTGCCTCGCCAACGCATGCATTCAGAATTACAAACGCGAATGCATCTGATTGGAAGAGGCGAGAAGACTTGCCGTTCGAAACGTTTTCCCCAACCCTTATGTCTTGCTAATTCATGAGTCATATTCCAGTTATGAGCCAATTATACCAATCGAAAAGTCACTCTAGAGAGAGGAACTGGAAGGATACCTTTCTCTGGATCGCTACCCGTTCCCCAACGGAGACTTAAGAGACTGCAGTCACGGCCTCTCTTATCTGCAGCGGAGGTTCCTGAGCGTTTTCGCGATCCTTCTTGACAACTTGAAAGTTATCAACGATGGCTTCTGCCCCCTTGACAACACAGGCGAGCTTAAGGTGTATTTTGAGGAAGACGCCAACAACAAGCGCATTCTCGCGGGCTGTAATCCGAGAGATCTGGAACCACGACTTGACAGCGGATGAGTATCAGGAATATCGCAAGCTGTATGAGAGTTACTTCACTCACATTTACCAAGATCTATCAACCGCAGCTTGCAGTGGTGATACCCAGATTCCAGATTTCAACCACGAACAAATTCTAGAGATTGTACGCACTCTGAAGTCCCAGCCTTGCACCAAATTGGAGGCTGCGCAATTCTTCCAACGATCCACAGGCTGCACAGATGCGGGGCGCATAGATAGAGCTATCAATCTTGCGTCCGGGTTCTTGGTTCCACTGAACTTCAAAAGCGTCGGCGGCGCTCGAAGAGGAGCAGTAGTATCTTGGGAGAATGACGACTGTTTGGCCCAAACAGTAACAAAGGGGGTGATGATGATGGCGAATGGATCACTTGCATCGCAGAACAGCTGTGCTTCGTGCAATTCTGTGTGGGCCTTTTCCAAAAGCTTCAATGCAAGGCAACTTACCCGCCTTGCTGGATTTGATATCATTTGGACAAGTAATCTGTTAGATCACCTTCTTATCCAAGATGAGGATGAAAAGTTGAAGGTCCATGTCTTCCACCATGTCAAAGTCCTTGAGAATCATTTAACAATCAAAAAGTCAGTACTTGAGGGAAACCCGAAAGAACAAAATCTCACTCGAGCACACAGTTCTATCATACCCCCCGAGTTAATTTTGGAGACTATGGACACCCTAGCCCTTATGATTCCAAGGGCCGATCGTCGAGTTCGAAAATGGTATAGACAGCTTCAAAGGCCGTATGTACTGGACCCAAGTGTCCTCTCACTTGAGTACTTGAAGTCTGAGAATCGAAGAATCGACCACTTTGTATTCTGGGGAGGTCGACTAAGAAAGCTGAAACGAGCTTTTGACGACCATGAACCCCATGGCCCTCTACAATGGTGGCGAGATGACCGCAAACCAGTTCAGTGGTGGACTTTCTGGGTTGCAGCTTTAGTCTTGGCACTCACAATCATTTTTGGCTTTACACAGTCTGTGACAGCAATACTGCAGTTGATGAAGTCGTAGGATGGTAGTATGTAACTACACACAGGGCGATAGGATGGGGTTATAGTTCATGTGGATATGAACGTTTGAGGAATTTACGATGAAAGGAAGTCATTTGAAGCTGTGATGGTATTTTCCCACAAAAAAGATATCTATCGCACAAGCCTGGACGGGCAATCGATGCCAGCTGCAAGTTGAAAAAGGATGGATCTGCTCAAAAGCCGAAGCCACAGCATGCAATTTAAGGCTCTGAACCGGGCGTAGGTCCGGTAGGAATTGAATCTCCTCGAGCCTGGATGCAGATCTCCCGCAGCGCTCTTTTGCGGGGCAGTGAAATGTTCCCGTCCACATCGAGAACCGTGGCCTGGAACGTCAAGTTGCAGACATTGAACGATCCCCACTCCGAAACGCTATTGAATAAAGGTCTATCTGAGCTCAAAAGGAGGTATCACCCCAAGTACCCCGTGCAAATTGCCTACCGAATGAAGAATTCAGAGCCGTCCCCGAGGTCTCCGAAGACCACCCAATCATCACCAGTGAAGCTTGGTCGCAAACGGGCAAAGTGTATTATCGAGAAAGTTCTTTTGACAGCAAATGCGCGAGACGAGAATGCACCGAGACATGAGGGCGTCGGGAGAAAGGGGCTGTGATAGTGGCGAAGAAACGGGACTGATTGAAGCCCAAAAGTTTGCAGAGCACCTGAGGAATTGAAGCCCAAGAGTTGGCCTAATAACGTACTCGGTATCATCTTAATGTTGCCCAATTCGCCTCACTATGTTTGCAGGGTCTCATCCAGACCGCCATGTCGCGGATTCTAGAAGCCCAAGGCAACGAATAAAGAGAAGTTTGAGAAAGAGAGTCGTGGAAATTTTTACGAAGGGTAGGTTACACAGCGCGCACGTGACGCCAAGCGAATCGACCAGCGCCTCGTTTTCCCCTCCAACACCAAGATCGGGCGAACCCGCGGATCGATCCTCGCACCAGGAACCAGCCGCTGCCAGTCCCATATCGTCCCCATTCAGCCCAGCATCGTCTTGCTCGCCCAATATAGCCCATCGTGTCTATAATCGCCGCCCCAGATTTCCCAGTCCAGAGCCTGTACTTCTTCTCTCTATTCGGTCGTGCTGCATCATTACATCAACAGTGGATTCGCTCCAGGACTGATCCAGTGCTGACACCTGGACTTGGCTCAGGGTGCAGCTCGCAGGGGGGCAAACGGACCAGTTGGAGGGGTGTGTTGGGTCGGTTTCACGCTCACGCCGGCCTGTGACAGCGCACGATTCAAAATTCAATCACACTCCCACTCACTCACCAGCCAGCCCTCCCGCTGCAAACGCCAACCCCTCCACCGCACGCACTCGTCATCCCACCTGTAATCCGAGTTCAGGATTCAGCTCCATCGAGCCGTCAGCCGCAATCGATACAAATCCCTCCGCTCCCTCCGGCCAGATCTCATCAAGACTGCGATATTCTATCAATTCGAAGCCTTTGACTGCCGGCGCCAAGATCTCGCTGCTCACAATACCCAACACAAGCAGTTGAAGCAATGTCCAGGCGTGCGGGAACCGTTTACGCAGAGGAGCGCGAGTATTACCGTGATGGACCCCCTCCACCACCCCCTCCTCCAGCTCAAGTGCGGACACGAGAGCGTGATCGAGTCTATGAAGAAGAGGATGTCTACATCAGACGAGAGCGAGAGGGAACTCGTCCCGAATTCCTGCGAGACGACTATGGTAGAAACGATCCTGGCCCAATGGTGTTGAGAGAACGAAAGACGGAGACCGTCACTAGGCCCAGACCTCGATCTCCATCTCCTATTCGCACTGTGCGAGTACAAGAGAGGATCATTGAGAGAGAACCCACTCCACCTCCGGTAGAGAGAGTTCGCACCCGGGTCGTCGAGCGAGAGACAAGACAGCGATCACCTTCCCCTCCACCAGAGAGACTCCGCTCACGAGTAGTGGAAACCAGAGAGCGGATCAGAGAACGCTCTCCATCGCCAGTCCGGTACCGCGAGAGAATCGTCGAACGAGAACGCGAACGCGAACGATCGCCAACGCCAGTACGAATTGAAGAACGAGTTCGCATCCGCAACTTCGAGCGTCAACCTTCACCGTCTCCCTCACCATCCCCTCCGCGCTCTCTGACCCCTCCGCTAATCCGCGCACCTCCCATCCATCAAGAAATCATCACCCACCACAGACACATTGATCACGGTATGTATGCAAGTCAACCACGACACACATCAGCTAAACCCAGACCAGGCTACGAGCGTGCCCCCGCCCCGTCCCCGCCCCCACCACCACGAGCCTCACGCACGAAAGAGACCGATATCGACATCTACACCTCACGCAACAACACCGAAGTCGACATTCACACAAGCTCCCGCGCACGGACTCCGCAGCCGCCGCCAGCCCCAGCCCGCCGAGATAACTTCTATGACGATTCCTTCATCTACGAGCAAGAGCGTGACAAGCTGCGAGTGCAAGACACAAGACTTACCGTCGACCGAAGACGCAGCGTGAGCGCCAGACCCGAAATAAGAGAGAAAGAGCGAGTCAGAATCGATGTTCGAGATGATGACGACGAAAGAGATTACTACGCCAAGAAGGTGGAAGAGCGGGCTTATATCGGTGAAGCATACAACGGCGCCACCAAAGACTGGAACATCGTCGACGTGCCCCCGGGAACTGAACGAGTGCGTATGGACGGCGTAGGAGGTGCTAGCCAGGAGATTACGTGGCAGCGATACAACGGCGTCCGGCGAAGCAAGTTCATTGCTGAGCGCGAGCGGGCTGAAAGTGCACACAGCGACCCCGCTCCTCTCCCAGAGCCGCGCCGCGAGTCCTCGGGCCTAGAAATCGAGATCTCGTCTCGATCACGACGACGGGAAGGAGGTGGAGCCACCTACGAGCGTGAGTACGAGAGGGTCGAGGAGCGGGATGATATGCGTGTGGGCTTCCCCATCCCTCCTCGAGCACCGCCGAAACAGCGACTCGGTGAACTGTGGACGGAGATCACGAAGGATCTTGTTGTGCGCGAGGCTATTGAGGAGCTAGGATATGACTTCGAGGAGACGGAGTTCTTCTATTATGTTTTGCAGTACCTTCGTTATGTACGTCTTCCACCCTTCTCCCATTACTCCCTCTCAAACTCCTATCTGAAAACAAAACTAACGACGAGACAGGACGAAGTCGAACAGCTTGTCGCACTCTCCAAGCATATCCGCCGCGAGCGCCGCGACCGGATTCGCGATATTCAGCGCGAGCGAGAGAAGATGGAGCGTAGGGAAAGAGATAGGGAGGAGTGGGAGCGTGCGGAACGTAGGAGGGAGCGTGAGAGCGGGTTCAGTGATGAGCGGATCATTGAGAGAGAGATCATATATGATGGGCCGCCGAGACGGGGGCCGAGACGGGGTGGTGGGTGGTAATTGGGAATGCATTTATGATTGATGAGATACGGCTGCAAGATGAATGCGATTTACATAGCAGCATGGCATTCATTTCTTCTGTCTGCTTTCTGTTATTTGGATGGATAAACTGGATACCTACTAGGGTAAACAAGCTTGGATCAGATACACAACACACTGAGATTTGAAGGCATGGCTGGATTTCATGACAGGTTGGGAGGCGTTGAACCTTCAGATTGGGACGATGGATGGCAGGATGTAATGAGTAGAGTTATGAATGATGATCAAAAGCACCCCTAATTTCTGATTTATAATTAATTCTTTTGACATGTCTATTGCGTTTGGGGGAATTAATGAAGTGTCTCAAGCGGGACGCCCTTCTTAGGGAATGATGGAGGTTAAGCGAGGAGAGCGGGGCCTATTTAAAGACAGATCACAAGAATCACGAGCACCAGTTGCTCATGGTGTCGAGATCTGTTCCGAAGATGGTAAATATCAGGTTCGATCTTGTTGTGTGCCAATCTATAGCAAAATGCCTTGGGAAGTGGGTAGTACAACCGCCTCCGGTGCCAACCTACAATCATGTAAGTCCCTGCTTTCAAATGTGGCAGGAGAGATTTAGCAAACGAACAACGAACGAATTTAATGACAATGGCATGACCTTTGACAGCACAAGACGAGACGAGAGGAGGACGCAGTAATACCAGTGGGGGAAAGGTACACGGTGCTCGCACTCTGCAAGACTTTTTGCACTTTACCAGCCGCTTCGTAACTTTCTTTTATTATGGAGATAGAAGAGTGATTATTAGAGTAAACGAGGCACAATGCATCATCGCCTTCCTCTATCGAGTTTATGTGCGAGGAGGCATAACTGGGAGAAGAGGTAGTTATATAGGTAGAATGTGCAGAAGGGGAAAGCAGAAATGGTTGTTAGGAGTTAAGCGAGAAATGGGAGTATATAAAGACTGAGAGATACTGACATTTTGTATACACATCGACACACTCATTGCAAAATCCTTCTAGCACTTGCGGACTGTGGTTGCCGGGCGCGCACTGCTATCCTAACTTGGAGACCCAGAGACGTGAGTGCGGGCTCAAGTGCATGCAATAGACCAGTTTAAAAGGAATTTGGTAGTTGAGAGAGGAATTGATGTTCTTAGTGCAAGCGCTAGGTCTAGAGGATGAAAGAGAATGCATACCCTTAAGGATAAAAGTGTATTGTCTCATGAGTGATAGTTACCATATACGAGGACAAGGGTGGGAATCGAAGGTTTTGGAGAGATGTGAGGCTATCCTAGCAGGAAAGCGGAGAAAGTTACACCATGCCTAATTACAATAATCTTGTTAGCTAGAATACGTGATTGAGGGATAGTCATGGTGTTGGTAGGGGCAATAATGCCCATAGGTCATGTCTGTGTGAGTTTGAATGCTTCGAGTAGAATGTGTACAAAATATTTCGATCAAAGTGGGTTCAATGGCTCATTTAGAAGCCGGAGAATGGAGGGTTCAATTTTCCAAGTGCGTCGAAACCGCCGTCTCGGGTTGCGTGAGTTCATGAGTGTGTTCAATATTCTAAGAAAGGTGAAGTCAATGCGGCAAAGTCGACGTCCCCAGTCGCATCGGTCTATATAACAATAGAAGACAACCACCATCCAATCTAGTATTGGGATACAGAGCGAGAGAGAGGATCCATTGTCTGGAATTTCAATGGTGGGGAGAGGGAGGTCATTGTCTCGAGGAGTAGTAGTGCATTCAGTCAGAGATAGGATTCAATGTCCCCGGCGTAGTGGTATATATAAAAATAGAGGGAGTCCATTATTCTAAGTAGCAGCAGTAAGAAAAACTAGTGAATGAATTCATTATTTTGAATAGTAGAGGTAGATTAAATGAGAGAGGGAGGATTGCTTATTCCAAGAACTATGACACATTCGACGAGAGAAAGCATACATAGCCCGAGATACAGTGATATACTACCAGATAGAAAATTTGGTCCTACTTGCAAACCGCAACTTCCATCATAGGGTGAGACGGGAATTGGAAGCGTGGCCGCTTAGAAATTGGTATAAAAGAAGGTCTGCTAATATTGAGCAATACCGTAGTCCTCTCTGAACCGCATCTACGAAGACATTGCTCTAATGGCATCACATCTTCTCTGGAGGAGGCAATCAGATGCACAGCTGTCTATCTAAGCATAATGATAGTTGAGTGCGATTTCCTAGAGGATGGGGCTGCTTTCCTTAGTCTCTGCTAGAGTCTACACGTTGACAGCGATGAGATTCCTGACAACAACGAGTTTAGACGAACAGAATACATCCTTTTCCATGAATTTTCCAATAGAGTTTGCAAATAGCAGCTGAGATCCCTCCACTGCATCGCGCTTTCCGAATATCGCTATCGGGGTTTCTGGGGTCGAACAGTGAATTCTGCGGCAAGAAATCCGTCCAATGAAGGCCGTGTCTGGCCATATCTGGAAGAGGAACTGTAGCCAGAGTGCTGTACTTCTTAAAGGAATCCACAGTCATTTTTGAATCACTTTACCAAGTAACTGGCGGACAGCGTAGTTGCATTGGAAGCTAATAATATTGGCGATTTTGTCTAATACCATTACGATATCGGTATTCCTGATATAATAGAATACGCTATTGTCAACCGCAAATTGGTCTCTTCTTTTCTGGTAGTAGGAATTAGAGGAGCTATTGGGGATTGCTCTCTTGGCAATCTTCAGCATCTTTTCAAGGGCAGGATCTTTATCCGCCATTTAACTGCTCTTCTGCAATTTCTGCCAACTTTGGATTGAGATGGAGTTGTTGCTGGGCTAGACTGCGGCAAAAATCTTGATTTCAAAGGCAAAGAAATTCAATTCAATTCATGTTCACCTAACTGCGTGGTTAGGAGTCATAATTAAGGGGATGGGGTGACTTTGTCTTTTAGGAATTTTCAACTGGAGAGGGGAGTGGTTTACTTGTTAAAAGGTGGTTATGTGCATCAAGCGATGGCAGCCTGTACTTGAGAGTTTGAATTACTCATCCGGTTTTTGCAGTGATAATACAATTCTCTGCCAGGTCTCCCATCTTGCAAATCGCCTGTGCACAAACTTCGTTAGTCACCTGTATCTGGAATTATTATTTCTGCCCACAGGCAATTCAAGGAATCGCTCTCGTGTCTCCAACTGCGCTATTCCATCCACACCAGCGCTCAGCTCAAATATACGGGAACGGCGTTGCCGATTCGATTGCCCCTTCCGGTTTGCAAGTCGTCGTTTTTGCCGCACACAAAGCATGGCGCCAATTATAATGAGTAGAAGTGTTATCCCAGCTCCAACGCCAATCCCCGTGTATGCAGCTACGGATAGCTCCCGAGGAGCTTGAGGAATTGTGCCGTTTGCACTTTTGGTCGGCTGTGGAGAGGGTATAATTGTGGGAAAGGTTGTCGCAGATGGGCCAGTGGTGTTGCCGGGCATCAGATTGCTACCCCGAGTAGGAGATCAGCATCAACTCTCGCACCTGGCAGCCATAGACAACATCCTCACCTGTCAATGATATGCATCACACCATTCTGAATCAAATAATCAGAAGCAATAACCTTGGCAGAGTTGATATAGGTAGTGCCGTCATCCAGGATCCTTACTATTGCAGGCAGCCCAGAGAACATGGTCAACTTTGTTCCGTTCTTGAATGATGTCGAGTATAGGACACTTCCAACAATGCAGTGGTAGCTGGCGAGGGCAGTAAACTGCCCTTGCGTAGCGGGAGATGCATTGATGATATCATTCAGCGCTGCGGCGCTGTTTGGGACGAACCATGTCATGTCCGTAGCTACAGTAACGGTGCTGAAGAAAGAGGGATTGTACCCGCTCCAAAAGTACTCTCGGTTAAAAATCGCGATGGCGTATGAGAGCCCTGCGTCTGTCACTGTCTTTAAAATATCCGAAGGGATCTGCAGGACAGAATCGATGATGTGGATCATTCCGCCGTTAACTAGATAGTCCTAAATGGTTATCTGTCAGTTTCAGGTTATCAGGGGAGGTCATTCACAGGGTGTGCTTACCCCAGATACTAATTTGCTGGACGTTTTGTTTCCTGACTGGAAGATTGTCTCATTCGGCCTGGAAGCCTCGATGCGTTGGCCACCCGTGACATTAGCGAAGGAAGTGTTCGAAAGAGCAGTTGGAACAAATTGTGGCGTTGTGCTAAGCAGAGCGGTAGGATGGCTACCGGAAAGAAGGTGGTAGGTCAAAGTTGCTTCAATCCAGCTCTGGGAGCGGTTCCCAGCGAGCCAGGTTGAAATCGCGTCATCGGTTGGAGCGAGAAATGTGAAGTTGTAGGCTGGTATTAGGAGAGACGAGAGCTGAGGAGATGCTCCAATTAGGGATGCGAGTTTGCTGAGCGAAGGTGTTTTCAGGCTGAAATCTAGGATAGTCTGCGTCTGCCCAGCAGATTGGACGATAAATAGAAGAAGTAAGGTCAAAAACATGATTAAAATAAAGTTACTTTAATTCTATTTGCAAGGAAGAATATTGGTTGAATCAGCTCAGCTGTTGAAGGAGCACCAAAGGAAAAGCGAGAGGCATAAGGGGCTGCTGCTTGTAAGAAGTAGGATTTAAGGTCCTGCATGTAATGGCCAGGCTAGTTGAAGAGAAGTTGGCTGAGATTCACATGGAATTTTGCCAAGCAGGCTGAGCAGTGAGGCGCGTCATTGCCTTGCAGAAGAAAGTTTTGTGTTACCCTTCAGCAGCCACCAGTTGTAAGAAAATTCGCAGGCCTCCTTCCACTTTAGATCCGATGCTTGACTCTGCATACACTAGGCTGGAATGGCTCACCGTTCAGCTGCCTTGGTCCCTCACCAAGATAACTCGTTGCGCAAGAACAATTATTGAGGCTAGACACCACCCACGCCATGCTCGTACTTTCCCAATGCTCGAAGAGCCTCACTGATAAACACATCAATTCAACAAGCCAATTCAAGTTTCCACAAGCCTGGGATGAAAGATTCGTAACTAAGAGTTTGATCCCTCTGACCACGTTCACATAAGTCGAAAGTTCGATTACTGCCGAACAAGGCGCTGCTTGTAACGCAACTTTACAGACAATAATTGGGCAATTGGACCATAGACGTAATGCTACCTCGTTCAGGGTAGGTACACAAATTAGCAACTGCCCTGATATCTACCTGGCGGACAAAAACTCCCCCGTCCAGAATGACGCGGTTTGAGGAGAACGCGGTCTTCATGATAAATACAGCTTTCCTATCGGGCGAGCCAAAGAACCACACTGCCTTCTATTCCCACCGAATGGCCGAGGTTGGAGGTAAGCGGTGGGGGCGGAGCAGGACGCATGATGCAGGACGCAGCCACAGTGGCGAGAATTCGTCAGATCAAGAAACACCAGGTTGGCCGAGCAGAAATCTGCCAATGGAACCTCGCGCCTCAAGCAGGCCATTTATCAAAGCAAATCGTTACTGAACTCTAACCCAAGAAGGAAACGGGTATGGGTATCCAGTTTCAAGGGCACCTTGGAGAAGAAGCAGCCAGGGGAAGGGTCCCTTTCCCACATTACCAAAAAAAAAAAAAAAAAAAAAAAATTTTTAGAGTTCCCTTAAGGCCGAACTAAACAGAGGGGAGTTGCGACACATTAGGCTTACTCAGCGCTGTACGTGACAAGATTCGAACATTGAGTCGTTACTGAAGTCAGGTCGGTGGTTCACACAACCAAGAAGGGCTTAAAATCTCATTGCCTCGCGAATAAGGATCTTCCATGCCAGCATGTTACTACCGATGGTATCTTTCTGGGCGAACATCCCATGTATTTCTGAACTGTGGAAAAAGAGGAAGCAGAGAGCCAACCCGCAACTTTCTCCTCCTTGCCAAGGATACTGGAGCCAACGAAGGCATTGTGCACTCTCGCTGTATAGCAGATTATTCACACATTAACACCCAGCAATAAAAGATTACCTCTCTTCAAGTACCATTCAAGCAAACAGCGCCAGTAATTGATTTCCAAAGGGCAAACGAAGGCAGCCCTATGCTGTCGAATATGTTAGTAAAGCGAAGTAACCACAAGACCTTCTTGCAAAGGGATGGTACTTTGAAGTTTTGAAGGTGAACAAAACTTAAGTTTCATAAGCGAGGAGTTCAATTCAGTTGAATGTTACAACACGCACAAAGTCGATGGAAGCTTGCTACAATGGAGAATGTGAAATGTCGAAAGACAGCATCTTAAAGGAGAGGCCAGCAAATTTCAAGGCGTCTTGTCTTGTCATATAATGCAAGGTGTGTATAGAGGTAGGGTGGAGCGCAGTTCCACCTAATTCTGGATAATACTAGCCAGAGGGCTAATTCTGGGAGTTCTAACCCTTATTTAAAGGAAGTATACTTTTCCTCTCTTTATACTAAAGTTATATTTATATATATTACTTATATTTATATTACTTATATTTATATTACTTATATTTATATTACTTATATTTATATTACTTATATTTATATTACTTATATTTATATTACTTATATTTATATTACTTATATTTATATTACTTATATTTATATTACTTATATTTATATTACTTATATTTATATTACTTATATTTATATTACTTATATTTATATTACTTATATTTATATTACTTATATTTATATTACTTATATTTATATTACTTATATTTATATTACTTATATTTATAAATGTTTTTATTTACATTTTAGCTTTTTATTTTATTTTTATAAATTATTATATTTCTTATTTATATTTATAAAATTCTTTTTTTTATTAAATATAATTATATTATATTTATAAGCTTAAGTATATTGATTTAATTATAAATATATAAGAACTTATAATTTTAAGATTTTTTATTTTAGTAATTAATCTTTTATTTTATATATTAAGTTTAATATTTTTTTTAAATATAAGAAAATTAATATTAATTTATAAGTTTAATTTCATTTATAATTTTAAATTAAGTTTTAAAGCTTAAAATTAGTTTATTTATTTGTAATAACTATAATTTAAATTATATATTTTAATTATTTACTTATAATTTTTAACTAATTATAAATAAAAAAAATATAAGCTCTTATTATTTTTTTAATTTTTTTAATTCATAATTTAATTATTAAAATAACTTAAAGCTTTATTTTAATATATCTTAATATTAGTATAGCTAGTGCCTCGAGAGGTGAGCACGTGCTAGCCGAGTCATAAGTTATAAGTCGTAAGTGAAAAGTTTGCTGGTATATTATGTCCTTACGGCTTTCCGTAGTCATGAGGCTGAACCTCGTTCAGTCCCTTTTTCGTATAATCGTTCGGCGCTTCCCACCTAGTCTCGCTTAGTAACACTCACTAGGTGAGGGCCACCAATACGCAAAGCACACCAATACGCAAATCTGAGATTTTGGTAATACCCCACCAAAAAACTCCCCTTTTTGCCCTTTAAATTCTCACAAGGCAACGCATTAAAATAGTATTTAAGTAAGAGGGATTAATCCTGATATATAGACCCTTTAGCTTAGTAAATTTTAAGATTAAAAAATTAAGGCATTATTATAGTACAAATCTGCCTGATTTGCCCTATATAAAGTTATACAGGAAAACTATACAAAGTTCAAAAATAGTAACGCCTTTATTTTTTGCTCTTTAAATTTAATAAACAAAAGGATCTTAGTCTTAGAATTAATTTCCACTATATAGACACCTTTTTAATATATTGCGTTATGAGAATTTAAAGGGCAATTTTTGGTGAGGTATAACCAAAATCTCGGATTTGCATATTGGTATGCTTTGCGTATTGGTGGCCCTCACCTAGTGAGTGTCACTAAGCGAGACTAGGTGGGAAGCGCCGAACGATTAAACCCAACTCTCCTTCGAACCGCATTCAAGGCGACCAATAAAGTGGGCCCGACAGATCGCCCTAATCGTGCGTCAGGACTTGCACTAAATCCCCTACGTCCCTGCGGGTTTAGTGCGTATCAGCGATACGGTCATTTTTTTTACCATTATATCGATTTTAATTAATTAAATATCAATACCATGGCCAAATTCGACCCAGAAGAAGAGAAAAGGATAGCCCAGGCCTCCGATTTCTATGCCAGGAACCCATACGTCAAAAATCTGCGATTGCGCATTAATTCAGGGTCAAATTAACCGAAGTCCCGTACCAAAACACGTCCCGCACCAAAACACGCGTGTAATAAAAATATTTTAATTTATTAAAACACAACCACCTTATATAAGAGTCTAATTTTTTTATATATAAGATCCCCTTAGTATATAAACTCACTTTTAATAATATATAGTAGAAATACCTAATATTTATTACTATAATAAACCTTTAATAATTTTATTTCATTTTAATATAGGATTTATATTATATATTATAATAAATCAAAATTATTATAAAATTACTACTTTATTATAATAGTTTTAAGAAATATATTAATATTTTATATAATTGTATCTTTTAAAGTATAATTATAAGTTAAAGATTAAATTTTTAAATTTTCTTAACTCTTACTTTTAACTTTAAATAAAAAGTACTTACTTTATATAATAATCCAAATTTTTATATATGAGATCCATTTTATATATCAAATTTACTTTTAATAATATTTAATAAGAATACTTATTATTTTATAATATAATAAGCTTTTAATAATTCTTTTAAAACTTTATAAATATTAATATAACTTTTATATTATATAATATTATAAAATAAAAAAACCATAAAATTACTCTAATATTATTATTTTATATAATTTTAACTTTCAAAAGATAATTATAATTCAGTGATTTAAAGATTTAAAATTTTAAAATTTTTTAAACTTTAATTTAAAATTAAAAAATATATATTACTTTTTATATATTATATTATATATAGATCTATATTTGAAATATAAAAATACTTAATTTAAGAGCTTTATATTAATAAATATATATTATTTAAATATTAATAACTTTTTATATTAGTTTTATAAATTATATATATAAAGTTATTAGTTTTTCTTAACTTAGTTATATAATATAGTCTTATATATATTAAAATATTAATTTTAATCTTATAAATCCTTTTAATAATTAATAATAATTAAAAGAATTTATATATTAAAAAATATAATTATTAAATAAAGCTATAATATAAGTATTATTTAAAAAATAGTTAATAATAAGACTTTATATATAATATAAGCTTAAAATAATAAAGATATTATATATAATTATAAATAACTTAAAATCTTATTAAATTTTATATTATAGTAAATAATAGAAATTTTAAAAGATTAAAGAATTATATATAAAGACTTTTTTAATAAAAATATAATTATAAGTTACTTTTATATAAGGTATATAATAGTAGGGTAATATATAAGTAGTTAAGGTAAATAAGCTATAGAGTAACGCTTGCAAGTATAACTAATTCCAAGAGTTAATTCTAATAAAAAACTAATTAATGCCCCTTTTCAAAGCTAGAAGCGTCTCCCTATATATTCCCTAGTACTTAGCCAAGCCTGCAAAGCACTTTACTTAACTAGGAAATACGATCCTATGCGATCTATATAATTCCGATTGCA